TTAGAATTAAAAGTAAGATGTTAAAATTTAAAAAGATGTAACAGAGTAAAACCAAAGAATACTGGTAATTCCCATCTGGAAAACAGTAATTTGAGTACGATATTGAAAAAGTTGGTTTTAAGAATTTCTTTATGCATGTGATGCAAAACAGTTGCTAGTTTATCATGAGTGCTGACATAGATGCAATTAGTGCAGGAAAAATAGTAAAATTAGTATAATTAGTGTCTCTAAAACATGAAAAAATAATAGTGTGAGCAGTGTAAATTCATTTGAAGTACTGAAATATGACATAGACTAAATATCAGAAAATGTAAGAAATATTTTGGTATGTGTGGATGAAACAGTGAACGTGGTTGTAAAATTAGAAATGAAAATTATCAACACACTTAAAGGTAATCGGGATTTAAAACTAAACATGATGTTAGAAACTTTGAAGACCATAAAACTATATGAGAAAGAAATGCATTTAGATATAAATGATATTAAACTGTAAAGTTGTGAATGGAAATTTCTGAGTAAAACCTGTAGATGATCTATTATGATCGGAGAATAAAACAAGTATTATAAAAATTGTAAGGAAATATTTGAATATGGAGTAAATGAAAACAATCCATATCGTTAAAATGAATAAAAGGAATAAAATGTTGGAATTACGAGTGATGAGACGGAAATAAAAACATTATAATAAATAAGTTAAATAAGAATTAAGAAATATAAACACAGAAGGGAAATCATGAACGTAAGAAAAGCAATTAACAGTTATAGACTTAAGTTTTTTTTTAAAAAAATATTCGGTAATGTAAGGAAGATATTGTTAAACATGTAAAAGAAATTAGAAATTCTGTAGAAAATTTAGTAAAAGAACTAAGATCACGAAAAATAAACGTTTCTTTTTAAATAGAATTTCAAACCACTAAGTTAAAGTGTGTATAGAATACTAGAATGGTTTAAAAAAAGTAAATGAAGTTAAAATTCAGAATATATTGAACATTATAACGTTAAAAAAAGTGTGAAATTGCATCTAAAATTAAGTAATGTAACAAATAAACAGCATGTGCGGGAACGTTTGTGAAATATAATATATAAGTTAAAAATCAGGGTATGCTGAAATGGTATGAAAGGTATAAAAAAAAAAACTAGTATGTGGAAATTAAATAAAATATTACAAATTAGAAACGTTAAGTATTAAAAAAATATGACAGTAAATAAATATGTTATTATGAACAGAAAACCTGAGAAATAAGTTAAAGTTTCATGGAAAACTAGAAAGAATAAAAGTATCAGAATAAAATTGAGTAATAAAAAAAAATTATCTTGTAGTTTCATTAAAGGAAAGTCTTTTTTTTTATATTTGTTTCTTTTACATTGTTTTCAGAGTCGCGCAATGAATAATTTTAACACCAGACTTAAAAAATATATTTCTAAAACATATAATTCACTTTTTTATCCCTAGAGGACGCCATGACCCCGTTGCCAATTTAAAAAAACTAACTTTAAATGAGAAGCAGGAGGTCTACAACTCAATCAGCAATCTAAAAACAACTCAACTCCACTCGAAACCACGCCTCCTAGTGTGATGACGTTCCCTTTGGCCCTGCCCTCTGTGACGTCATTGACCACGCCCACACCGCACACCGCGTGTCGCAGTACCCGTATTTTTATACTACTATTGAGGTATTCTTTATCTCTCAGAATGAGGCAAGAATATTTTTATTTTCTCAGCGTCCGTCCATGGTTGGGGTTAGGAAGATCCTCTGTTAAAATTTAGATGGTGCTGTGCTTGGTAAAGTCACACTCTTGTTTATGTAAGTCCCATGGCCAAGGCAGACGCGGCAGACGCAATCCTATGATAAAATTTGCGAGCTTGTTCGGATTTTGCTGTCAGACAAGTTAACTAAGTCACAAGAATAAGATAAAAAGAAAAATTGAAAATTCAATAATTCGGAAAGTATAGATAACAGCACTATGCGTTATGCATAGAAAAGAGATTTCATGATTTTTTTAATAGCATAAACGTTTATCTCCAGCATAGAAGTTATAGATGTACAGAGGCCGGCAGACGTGATTCCAATACTGAAAGAAATTATTCGCCATCATGTCGCAGAAATTATAATTAAACTCTTTCCGATGCTGCCCTGAGTGCCATGTACGTCGGGCTGCTATTCTCATGCACGAATAACGGCCATCGCATTAAACATTTATCATCTTAGCTACTTTGCAAACTGTACTGCGCCGTTGTACAAATTGCTGGCCGCTCAGCTCAGCCGGTATAGCGGTTAGCGTCGCTGACTGCCGTGCTGAACGGCCCGGGTTCGAATCCTGGAGAAGACATGGATGTTTGTAAATGTATAGTGTCCGTGCGGCATGAGGGTACTCCAAATATGCGGAAAGCCGAAAGTCCTCTCGAGAGAGGGTGATAGTAAGGAAAGAGGAGTGGGAGCACCTCTGACCCGTCCCACCACAATTGATGGCTGATCTGAGTTAATTGCACTGTCACTTGTAGGGTGCTGAAGGTTGTTGCCAACGACAGACGTAAACTTGCGGTCCTTGCCACAAGGAATTTAGTGGGCTTGGGCTGACTATAGGTCAGACAAGTGAGAATTAGCAACAATAACAACAACGAAATGCTGATATAATAGAAGCACCACTTGTCGGTGGATAATGTAACTGTTTTGGCAATAAAAGTTTTCATTATTAAAAACACCATTTCTTTTTGTGCATTTCTATGAAAACCGTATCGCGCTACCATCAAATACTTTTCGAACTGCTGAGTTTTCACTTTTCTTTTATTTTTGGATCACCCGGTAAATACTAGACATTATGGTAATTAATCTTACATATGTATAGTAATTTATAGAAGTAGGAGCAGAAGAAAGTAAGGTTTACAGAGTGACGGAGCTTGGTACATAAAAGCATAAAAGATGTTAGGGGTCTTAGTGTCCGATTTAAAATTTTTTAATTTTTCAGAAGCGTGTGGCCAGTGGCAACAAGTTAGCTAGACTAATGGATCAACATTACCTTATTTCAGATCAACCGGACACATTCACATTTGGAGAACGCTAATCCCAACTATGAAGCATAGAGATGACATCTTGTTGGTATAGGGAGCGATATCTTGATGCTATCTTTGTTCACTTGCTACTCTGCATGAGAAGATCAAAGGCGATTTCTAACGGAGCAACGTCCATCTTTTTTATCAGGTCTTTATTCTCCGGAGATCGAACGCTTTTTTTAGACAACAGTGCTCCTACTGAACGTTTGAAAAAATATTTGGAGTTCAAATTTTGTGCTCGAATTTCGCTTGAAGTTACATTTTCGAAATTAAATTAGAGACTGCTTGCTCTGCAGAAAGAATGGCTCCATGTCCTTTTAAATTTTATGCAAGATCTTTATGCATCCATCTCACCTTGCATACAATGTATAGGTGTCTTCCTTTTCCCGCGGTTGTCAAAAACGTTCCTGTTTCCGCGAAATCATCAATCTTCATTACCTCCCTTCTCAAAGGTGTTACATAGTGGGGGGGCGAGTGGACCTTGGCCTATGCCGAAATGTAGGAAAGCAAAAAATGTTTAGATTTAGAAAGAAGAATTTTTAAAACAAATAATCGAAAAATATTTTTAATCTCAGATCTTTGCATGAATGAAGCTAATACTATTTAAAAGGAGAGAGAGAGAGGGGAGTAGGAATATGCTCAAACTCTGCGATAATTTTGGCAATGAACTAAAAAATCTTTTCCTAAATTAAAAAAACAATATTTTTCCAAAATTCTGCATAAAGGTGAGTTATAATAAAATCTTTCAGAACAAACATTCGTTAAAAAACGACTTCTGCTTACGTTTTAATTCCGCCATTTAATTCTTTCATTTATGCAAATCCAATCAACTACATTTTCCTTATTTCTATTCCGAATTCGATACTGATAACCTTTATAAAGAGCTAAAGTTTTTTTTCCTTTTAGTTTCAATAATGTCTAAAATCCATACTGATTAACATAAGCTGTAAAACTAACAGCTAATACTGTAGCAGAATTATAAATAGAATGAAATTAAAGATTTTAAGAGGAGTCTAAACGTAGACTAACTTATTCTCAAAGAAACTGCCCAGCTCTTCTTAGTGACTTATCGTGACATCCCCTGAGGAGCTGTGGGAGGGGAACTCTTCTCTCCGATTTCGCGGGAACAGGAAGAATTTTGAAAAACGCGGAAAGAGGAATCGTGGAAACAGAACTAATTCCAATGTGTATTTCAAGAAAAGAGTGGCCCAATCCCCTATTAATAACTATTTTGTCTAATTTCACATATGTTCGTATTATTTTGTAACCCATTTGTATATTGCCTTTCTTTAAATAACTGTAGAACAAGCAGGCGTATTAGAAGAATATAACTAAATTGAAAAGCTGGTTATCAAATTGAATGTTTTAAAATTTTTCTGAGCATGAAATACATATTTGGAAACGATAGGGAACTGTAAATTATATATCTAACTTCAATAGCACCAGTACAAATAATAACCAACGGTTGCATCTTTCAAAGAACAATCCTAGGAGGTGATTTACACGTGTGAATTGATTGCAATTAACGTGAAAAATAATTTTGACTTTTCTTTAATTTACAGAAGTGGCAAAAATTTTGAAAAGAGGAAAATAAGCAAATAATTTTATTTTAGAAATTTGTTTTGCTATTGAACAATCGATTTATGAGACTGATAGAAAGGAATTAAATAAATTCGTATTCATTGCTTATTGGTATTTCTTCCACAGCTTTGGCCCGCTCGAAATTATGCGTCACATAGAATATTATACATATAAATGCTTCATTTACTCCTTTTTATCCGTAAACGCATGTGGGAATATATAATCCTCCAGTCTTCCATGAGGGCTCCCATAGAATAATATTTTGTAAATTCACCTCAGCTCTTTAGTTGGTATTTATGAGAACGTTAATATGGATATAAATGTGCGGGCTCAAGGCGCATTTCACTATATATATACATGCCAATTTCCTTGCATTTCTGTCACAAGTATTTCTTGCTCTCTGAGTGTGAAAACAACTTCTCCAAATATCTACAAACCTTTTACCAACAATGATTGCTTGGATCTTTCTGTCAGCCGCTCTCTGCTCACAAGCATGGGGACTTAAGTACACAGACTGTGGTAAGAAGCCTTGAATAAGTTCTTAGTATTTACCAGATGCTATGTATTCTTCATGTGTTACTTGCTTTAACATTTTGTGACATTAATGGTCTGTTCTTTGAAGCCATTTTACTAAGCAATTTTTAGCTTTGATTTAGTAAGGAAATTGAGAGTTGTGAGCAGAATGGATTCACGCAATGTCTTTTCAGTTCCCAAAAATTGCTTTCTAAACGCAGAACCGAAAAATCCAAATCTATCGCAAGAATATAAGTTAGCTTACATTTATTCTGCCCGCAAATCTGTCCACCTGTTGATGAGAAAGTTAAGTCCTTAATTACCTTAGTAGCTAAGGGTGAGGCCTTTAAAACGAGTTAGTACAGGATTTTCGTGTGTGATGCTTTTAGCATATGTGATGTTAATGGAAATTGATTTTTTTTAGAATTTAATTTCTCCAAGAAAAACATTTTACTCAAGCAAAAATTTCTCCCGAGGTTTGCTGTAATTAATTGTACCAAATAACTGACATGCGTAGTGTTAGTGGATTAAACAAGATTCTTCACTTTTAAGTTACTAAGTAATTTAAGCGTTACTTTAAGTAAACATTTATGTCAAGAAGTTAGATTTCTTTTTGCATTATAAGATATACATCGTGTACTTTATATTTCAAGATTAGACGGTAAAATTTTAAGTTTCATAGTCCGCTTTACTACTATTTCAATAGCACCGCAGAGAACTTTGCTTTGGGTACCCTGTAAGTGATAGATTGATTTTACACTCGTGAGAAAAGATGATAGACAGCTATTAACAACCAAGCGTTCTCCCGGAACCTATCCCGGAACCAACGATGTGACAGCCAGTACCCTTATCATAACGATTAGAAAAAAATATTAAAAAAAAAAAAAAAAACTGAAAGGATTCAGATTTTAACGTCATTTTAGGGAATTTGTTAATGTTTTTTTTTTGGGGGGGGGGAAGTTTACCAATCTTCTCTTGAACTCACTCCTGCTAAGGTAATCTTTTTTCCTTTTAATTTAACTTATTAAACTATATTTTCTTCGCACTTCACCACATTATACACAAAATCACAAAATACTTAAAAACAGCATAACTTTAGAATTCCGGCCAAAGGGGGTTACCATACCCTTCTTCATATTCGTTATTTTATTTCCTTAAAATTATTACACGGCGATAACGTTTGGTGACAATAAACTTTTATTTGAAAAGTGATACGGACCAAAAAAGTGAGGATAGAGACTAGTAGTAGTTTTGATGCTAATTTACCCGCTTAAAAAATAATTGGAGAAAAATTATTCCTGTTTCTAGGCTTGTGTTAAATAATTGTATGAGACTCTTCCTCCAATAGAAATGAAACATTTCTTCTGTAAAATTTATAAATTCAAATAAAGGATTAAGAATGCATTCAGTATTCGATTTTCAAGTTCTAAAATAAATTGCTTTGGGAATTTATTATATACACGGATCACGAAGAAAATAAACCGCACTTTATTGAGGATAACATAACATAAGAAATGAAGGGATCATAATATTGGTGAAAACTGTATTCCTTAAATGGTTTTATTGCTTACTTCAAGTTGTGCATTGAATTCTTAATAACCTTGCAGCCATTTTAAAAAATTGGAAGAATTATTCACGTACAGATTTCCAAACAGAAGCATTTATGCTCGTGATTGTTATTTTTTCCATAATAACTAAGATGGATGATTTTAAGATTATTCGAATAATTCAGAATTGAATAAATTTCGTTTTGAATCTGTTCTTCGAACAAAGCAGAATAAAATTTTGAATGAGTGACACACTATGAATAGAATTAAAAATAAGTTAAAAGGAAATTAACGATAAGTTTTATCACTAAAAATTTTATTGCCTTTTCTATTTAAGAATGAGAGAATTTCATGGTAATGTTGTTTTGTTTCTCGGCAGGATTAAGCTAAATTTAGACTTCCTTTAGATCAAAGAACCAACAGATAAGTGAAAGCAACATTTAATTTTGTGATGTAAAATTCGAGAGATATTTGTCAAGCTTTAGAAGGACGATTGTAAGATTTTATTTCAATTAACCCAGTTTTTCAAGTTACACTTATGCCGAGATTATCAAGCATTCTGCTTGATGTGTTCCGGCTGTCATCAGATGTTTGCTCTTTGGGCTCTGAAAAGAAAGTTCGAAGTGTTATTCCAGAAGGGCAGGAGCTAATGGCGAATGGGCGTCATCAGATGAACCCAGTTCTATTATTATTTTGGCTTTATAACTTCTACTTTAGTCAACTTCCACCTGCATGCAAATAATTTAATATACAATAATAATAATAATAATAATAAATCTGAAAGGTTTTAGATTTTAGATGAAGTCCAAAGGGGCGTTTTTTTTAACAATTTCTGTGTTACTTTTATTTATTAAATATCACATTCGAAGGCATGCCTCTTCTTAGGCGGATAGCCATAGCGTGCTTTAACAATAGTCAACTAAATCAAACCAAAAACGTATACATAATATGGTGATTTGTGCATTTGATTTGCACAAATAAAGAAATCCTTTTTTATTACACCAGCGAAAGGATTTGATGATAAATCATTGTACTGTATTTTCTCATTAAGAGCCTCACAGTACCGTTATTCCATCCGAAAATTTTTCATAATGGGAATAAAATAAATTTTTATCAATCCAGTTTTAAAGGTTACTTAAATAAGATAGCAAAATCTTCTTACTCCTTACTTTATTCAGTAATTCTAGAGATCTATGCAAAGTGCAATTTATGGCCAAAATGCTTTACTATGAAATTTTATCGTTTCATTTCTGTTAAAATTTTAGAATACGTAAAATCAGAAATTAAGAGAAAAAGATGTAGTACATAAAGTAATATGACAATTATCTACACATTTTGTGCATACCAATCCAAACATTAATGAAGTTGTTACATTTTTTTTTCAGGTTCTAAAACGGGAAAAGTGCTTGATGTTCAAATGACTGGATGTGAAGAATCTGATGTTTGTGAGCTCAAACGAGGGGAAACTTACACCTACACAATTTTATTTGAATCTTGTAAGTCTTTGCTCTAAAATTTACTTTATATATGCATACATATACAGAGATCACTTTAAAGTCTAGTTTCAAATTTTTAGCATTTAAGGATCGGTATTATAAGAGATATTATTTATTCCTTGGTATTTTATTTTGCGGGAGCAGCAGATCAGTCGGTAATAAAACGCTAGCTTGCTTTCCATAGTACAATAAATCTGGATTTTGAGATTCTGGCCTGCGATCTTATAACAGGAACTTGCGAGCAAACATTACTATAAGTTACTGTTGGCAGCATAGGCAGCCTTAACCAACACCACTTTTCAGATAGAGTTCTAGATGAGTGCAATCCCATATTCCAATCCATGTTGCCATATTAAGCAACTTAACCATGATATTGCTTGAGTTACAATGCTCACTCATTCTTGGCCGTGACTTATAACCTGAGAGTCTTGGACTTACGGCAAAGAAGGTTTTGGATAATTTTTTTGGTTTATACAATTTCCAAATTTTTATCTCAAAACATACGTTAAATTTAATTTGTCCGCTTGCTCCATGGAGCAAATTAAAAACTTTTCATCATATATAATACAATAGTTTCTCCTTAATGTGGTCTTCCGTATTACCACTTCAAAAAACATTAACCGCTCTGAAGAGGCTGTAGCTTTAATCTATGTGTATTTATGAAATGTATTTTTGATTAAACGTGGAGTCTTAAATAGAAAAAAAATAATGATTCAGATTGCTGTACATCGATAAGTATGGTTTGTGATTTATGAAGCCAGATGTCTTCGCACTGCCATTTAACATTATAAACATGGATTAAAAATTTTCCATTGAGTTGCCATTTTCATTCTTAGTAAAATTACTATGCTGTAGCTGCGGCAATTCAATATTAAATGAAAAAGAAAAATATCGGTGAGTAATTAGGAAAATCTAGATATATGTGATAGAAATATACTAAGCCAGTTAGTTATATATGCATATATGAGAGAATATAACTTAACGTATCCTACTAAAATTTGGTTGCTTTTCAGACAGAGTGACTGTTTTACTCACTACTAGCTGAAGGAAAATATTCGACGAATTGACTGTTTTGTAACCTATTTTGTTTAGTTTGCTGTGCGTGTGTTTTTGTAATGAAAGTGTATGTTGTCTTTTACTATGACAGTCTCTTCTCTTAACTTGAGCATTACAATAATTCCAGTTTCTCACAATCAAGTAGTGATTTTTCTATAGTGTGCTATGTTTCATATTACATTGTATGAGGTGTGAGTACAGTATAATAGTACAGATACAACATCATTTAAAGCATAGGAAAAGAAGAGAACAGTTGGTATGCAAAGCATACTTTAGCAACTTTCAGATATGGTCTTGAACGTAGATGATTTGCCAATGCACCAGAAGTTGTGAAACCAATTACTTTCTAAATTGCAACACCTCAGTATCATAAAGTAAATAATTCTAGCTATTGAGGTAGTATTAATTTGAAGATTCTCTTAATTTTCCTTACTAAGCCATGTTAATATTATTAACGAATTGATATCAATAAAGAATTTTATTCGTTCTACATGATTTGTTCTTTTAGTGACGGACAGCGAAAGCGCAAGAACGGTTGTACATGGAACTGTGAATGGAATATCTATGCCCTACCCTGTACCGAATCCAGATGCTTGCGAGAGTGGAAATCTAGATTGTCCTTTGGAAACCGGCAAACAGTATTCGTATTTGAGAGAAGTTGAAATCCGTAACACTTATCCCACAGTAAGTCTGCAGTTTTCATTAGAATTTTTTTTTTATTTTAAAGCAAATTCACATAAAAATGGCATACATTTTACGTTTCATTATCTTTAGTAGGTACAGATCCATGAGGATTTAAACAATCACCGTGACGATTTCTTGCATATTAACTCTGTAATTCTTTTTTTTTAAATTAAAAAATAATTATTTTTATTACACCCGATTTGAGATTTTTTATTACTATATTATAAATTAAAGATATTTTATCAAGAGGCATTTCCATATGATTGAAGTAACTTAATAATTATTTGTCTCCAAAAATGCTGTATTTTAAATATAAAATCTATGCCAAAAGCTTATGCATTCATTAAATTTGATTGCATCACATGTATAGGAACTTCGTAAAACAAATGATCATATATTATAATAGCTGTAAAGCTGTTACCAGAAATTTGTTAATGAACATACAGTAACGTAAACTCATATGTTGTACTACAATTTCATATAACATACAAAATTTTGTATTATTCCTAACCCGCCGTAGACTAAGTAAAATAGGATTCACGTTTAATGTGTTAAATCAAAACAAATCTTTTTATAGTTTTAGATCCCCATAACAAACTTATTTCAGCATCAGGTTTTATTTTAACTCTTAATTCTCATCTCAGGATAATTTATACTCCGTAAAAGCGGAAGCTAGTTTGGGAATCTAAATTAAAGAATTCTTGTTTCCCATAAGCAGTGATGTTTTTATTGTGTTCAGATTTACTGAAGATGGTAACTATCTTAGAATATTTTCTACTTAAAGAAGAATCTTGTTATAAAGACCTTGACAGTGTAGGCTTTGTTATCAAGATTTTAATTTGAAAAACCATTGCGCCCGTCACACATATAATATATGGATGTTATGTATATTGCTCTTATCAAGTTGAGTTAAGAAAAAAATAAGGTCCATCTAGGCAATGCAATAAAGCTCGATTTTGCCACTTATATAAAAGTGTAATCTATGAAACTCTGAACGCAAGTATAAAAGTTTCACCATGTGTTTCTAGATGGTCACGAATTTGAAATTCTTTATGTAAGAATCTATGTATATTTAAAAAAAAAATCTGTTCCAAGGGACACGATTTGTGTAAGTGTTGTTTCGAGGAATTTAAACTTATTGCTTATTTTACAATCTTTTTCCATTATTCTCAATCGTTTTTATCAAATTTATGTTATTAAAATTATAAATGGGACATTCGAACTTCAGATTTCACAAATCTTGAAAAAGAGTGGAGAACAAAAAATCGAATCTTTGCGCGTTTTTCATCAGTAGAATTTTTCGAAGTCTAAGCTAAAAGACCGTTAATATTTTAACTTAAAACTTTGAAATGGTGGTTTTATTGACGCCCAATAGCATGGTTTATGCTCCACGCATGCGCAGTGACAAGCTTCCTTTAGCGTTATTGGCTGGCGTCCTTTATACAGAATTGGCGAAGTATCATGAGACTGGCAACTAAAGACATGTTATTCCTCTAAATTTTGTCACGTTGCAGAAGTTAAGCCTGAATAAGAAGCTTGAAAGCGTTGAAGAAGTTAAGCTGTTACTGATTTCTTATATTTAGCATGATTAGTATGAAAGGTAATTTTTTATGCTTGGAAAGTTCGAAGACCTGTTTTCGATTACCTTTTTGGATTACCACTACAGTACACAGTCTTTAATCCAGACTCGTCGGGACTTCGGCGATTCCGGATAAGGGGTTTTTCCGGATTATAGATCATCAATTTAAATCTGGTAAGATGGCATGCAAAAATTATAAAATTAAAAAATATGAAACCGTAATTTATGAAATAAAGAGCAATTATGATCTAAAACGTATCAAAATTTGCAAAAAAAAAAAAAAAAAAAAAAAAAAAAAAAAAAAAAAAAATCTTTATTTTTATTTGTTTTATTTGTTAAACATTTCTTTCAATGTAAGTTGTTTAAGTTGCTTCTTTTTTTGTGCTAATACTTTCTCTTTAATTCTATAAACAGACATAATTTCTTGTTCAGTTCCACTGTTCAAGTCCTGTAATTGCTGTGTCGAGAATACCAACTAACTGGTCAATCGAAATTTTTTCATTTTCAATAACCTCTCTGTCACTTTCTTCACTATCGGAAGCGGTACATCGAAACATGCTTTCGCTTTGTAGATCCTTTGGCAGCTCCAGAATCGGAAAATCTTTTTGACATAATCGAAAGTTCAAGCTTACTTTTTTATAAAATTGCTGTAACAGTCTGCAAAAAACAATGAGGCGGATCCAATTAGAAGATTAAGGAACAACGCAATCTGCAACATTAACTAAATAGATAATTAGATAATTTTAGCCTAGCTTATACCGTCCGGTATACATTAAAAGCGCATGCGTAAACGTATTATGCGCATGCGTAAATGTATTGCGCGCATGCGTGAACGCATTAATGCGTTGACGCATGCGCAGAAAATTTGTAGCTTTGAGGTCCGGATTATAGATCATTCCGGATTATGGACGTCCGGATTAAAGGCTTTGTACTGTATAATGTAATCAAGAATAAGAAGAGAAAGGACCAAAGTATTTTGCTGAATGCCTGTTAAAAGATGAACTTTTATGATAACTGTAAATATGAAATAAAAAAACAAATTTATAAAATGGGGATAAATTAATTGATTATGTTAAGGTCTCGAGAATTATTTGCCTAGGATGAGACATGCGGAAATCATTAATTTAAAAAGAAAGTTTATGATAACAATAAATATAGGATTAAATATCAAACAAAAATACATTTGCAAATAAACGTAAAATATGATTAAGTTAATTGAATACTGCACGTTACGAAAACCTGCAGGATTAATTTAAACAGTTCATAAACATCAACGCGACTGAAAAACGAATAAAGTCTATTTCCCTATACGCTTTTCTAGTCCCTAGGAAATAAAGTCTGACATATTTGGGCACAAAGCTCACCCCATACGCTCTTTTAAGTCACCAATGAATAATTTATCCCATAATTGGGCACAAAGGGAACAAATTTCACACATTCCGCAGCACTTCACTTACCTATCGCTGAAGACTGAATTGTAAATTCATCGCCAAGCCAAACATACATGGATGTTCTTTGGCAAAGTGAGGAAGGTTACCATGCTGAAAATATGCCTATTGCGCTTGCGTGAATCATAAATCATGCTTGGACTAGACGCTACTCTAAAATCGAAGCGAGGTATGAGGAGTGGAATTCCGTGGTGAAGGTCCAATATTAGTAGAGAGCTGAGAACTTTCGTGACTTACAACACTTTGTGACATTTGCCTGTGGGACTGGTCCAAAGAAGTACACAAGACTCACCCCACAACTCTGCATGACCCTCAGGAAAGAATCTGTGATGTTTTGAATGCATTACCGTTTGATTTCTTAAGCAAACGGTAATGACTTTTTCTAATTAACTTCTTGACAAAAACCTACAAGTTTACGGAAGTATATTGACAGTGTTAATGGTTGAATTGTAAGTAGGTATTGTTGGAATGGTAATAAATGCAGTGAAGCATTCATGGCAAAACTTTACGTAATTTTCCCATACTCACCGCCTATGATAATCTTTAAAATAGGTAGTGACTTTTCAGACACCATGTAGTATTCCAACATTTTTTATCAAGTTACAATTAAGAGAATGAATTTCAGGATTTAAGAGTTTTAACTACGGGCTTCCTTTGTTGATTTTCTTTTGAAGCTTCGTAAGAAAGATATGTGCATTTATAAGGACATTTTAATATTTTTCCCTTTAAATGCAGATTTTCTTTATATAATATTATTTAAATATAATGCAAAAAATTCTTCCTTTTTATTCTCTCTATTTTTTGTTTTGTTCTTAGTGTAGTACAGTATACTTACAGTATAGTATACAGTTAGTATTCGAGCGACTACAAATTCGAGAGATTCTAGAAAATTTAAGACATTTCCTGCTCCTAGTTGAAGTAACAGTGCACATAATCTCTTCTTCGCTTCAATATTTTGATAGCCTTTTTGGCATTGGTTTGCTTTGCAGCTGATACCAGTACGTTTGGGTTTTCTCCATGTATGATTTTTAAGGCAATAAATAATGTTATAATTAAAATGAATGTTTAATAACTTAAAATCTTTTTCAGATGAAAGCTGATGTGAAATATGAATTGCGAGATGCGAAGAAAGAAAATCTTGTTTGCGTTACCTTCCCGGTGAAAATTGTCTAATTAGTGATATGAAGAAAGAATTGACAATTCACGTGAGAATTCTAAATCAGTGGCAAATTTTGTAAAGATTTTGAAATAAACTTTTCTATCGTATTCTTAACATCTGTTTTCTTTTTCATGCTACACTTTTTTACGAAAGCTGTATAATTTACAAGAACTTTAAAATGCCTTTTCTTCTGGCGAACATTCAAAAATATCAAAAAATAATAAAAAGTATATTGCCTTTAAATAAATTTTAAAAAGACAGTAATATATAGATGATTACAGTTTATATATTGCTGTAGAATTTTGTCGTTTTCATCGGATTTTATTTTTATTTCGGACGAAAGTATAGTATAATCTTCAAATTTTGTTGACTAATAAAACTCATAAGTATTTTAGTATCATTAGTACTCATTAGTGTAAATCTTAAATGAATATACTTCAGACTCTGTTTCACCGACATGTGAGCAGTCACTCTAAGTCTGAAGATAGATAACAAGTCTGAAGTAAGATAACAAAGTCCTACGAAAGTTAAAATAACCTTTTTATTAACTCTCTAAATTTTACAGAGTGCATCACTTGTGCAACAAGACAAAAGTCTGCCATTTGGGGGTGATTAGAATAAAATAAGTTGAGATTCCACAATTACGTAATTTAGTCAGAGACTACGCAAATAGACTATACTTGGCTCAATTATTTAAATGCACGTATTTAACATCGGCTAGCAAAGTGGCTAAAGCCGGAATAATCTTTGGCAGAGCTGGCGATAGGACGTAATTGCAAGCGAGGTTACCAGAATCTCTAAAATATTCAAAACTTTGGCTTAGTAAATAATTAGCATTTTGATGAGGACCATAGAAAGAAGTTACAATAAAGATTCAGGTCAAAATAATTGTAAATTAAGATAAATCTTATAATCTCACAAAAATGTTTTCATCTCAGAGGTTCCCCAAAAATTATATGTATGTAAACTTTGAGTTTACATATATATAATTTTATATATTTTAATATATTGTAAACTTTGAGTTTACATTCTACATAGGAGGGGATTTCTAAGCTGATGATACATATCTAGGTGACTAGATTATTTTATTTAGGTATTGATGGAGCTACACTAGTGACTATTTACAAAAGGAAAAAGAGTGATAATTGAGAGGTTACATCTTTGTCGTCTATTATTACGTTTTCAGTCGAAAACATGACCACTACTCTTCTCTTCCATTGCCCATCTTACTGAGATATTCACACTTGGGCAATCTGACAGAATGTGGCCTCGCATTTTGGTAGTACTACCATCAGCATCTGGAGATCTTAAAAATAAAAAAAAAAATAGTTCGGATTTAATTTTGCTGAGCTTTGACTCAGTCGTCGTCATGGATGTCTTAGAGCATCATCGTAGGGGAATCTCTTCTTCGATGTCGTCTAGAAATTATAGCGTAATGATTTGCGCCGTAATTTTGAAAATTTTTCCCAGCAACTTCGTTTTGGAGTTCAGCAAAAATCAAATCTCGAGCACTAATCAGAATTTGAAGGAGTTGATTAATTTTTTACATTGTTCTAGTATTAGTTCAAGGGAAAGAAAATTTCATGTACATTCTCCTTCTTCGAATGCAACACGTACGTAGCCCAGTATAAACAACCTAACCACAGAAATTTTGAAACCCTTGATCGCAATAAAATTTTTTACTCTGCTAATGAATTGCTGACCAGTGCTACTGCAAGCACTTGTATATTTTGCAGTCAGCAGCATATGAGCCATCTGTGTGAGACTTTGAACTCTCAAAAAAGAGAGAAGCTTTTACGAGAAAAAAAATTTTTGTTATGGTGTAATATAAATTGCTGTGTAAAGGCTTGCAAAGGGGCAGATTGCTCCTTTTGCAAAGGTAAACACGCCCGCGCAATATGCTTTAAATTAGAAAATTCTAATTGAACATGGTTCGGAAACAAAATCTAATGAAACAGTTGCTACTTCATCGAATAATATTCTGAATGACAGAAGAGGAATTTTGTTGAAATGTGTAAAAGAAGAAATTGTTGGAAATGAGTCGTCAGATTTTATTTCTTGTTTATATGATAATGGATCCGAGGGCACTTTTGTTAAGAAAGGAGTTTCTGAAAGGTTGGGATTAAAAGTTGTTGGTTTAGAAAAATTGAATATGTATAGCTTTGGCGCAGACTCCAAAAAGACAGGCTTTCCGAAGGGTGGAATTGAAGTTGGGAAGTATTTTGAATAGAAGTGAAGTGCTTATTGAAGCACTATAAATTGATGAAATATTGAAAGCTGCAATAAATATTCAGATCGAGGTATATGTGCAGAAATGAAGTCCAGAGGATTTCAATTAACCATTTGATTTTTAAGAAGTTATTTAGCAATTGTTAAATTTCATTGTTGATAGGAGCAGATTATTACTGGGATTTGATAAGGAAATTTGAGCGGTTCAACATGTCATTAGTAGGTATAGAAACTGCCTTTGGATGATCACTCCAAGGAAAATACGATGATTTAAGTAATTCCACGCACATTAATTTCGTTCTCAATGAAAGAGATTTGGTCTCCGCTGAAGTAAGGCCCTTTTGTGAATGGAAAATATGGGCATTAGAAATGATGAAACAGATACTTCCGATATCGAAGAAAAGGAAATTCTAAAGGAGTTTAACCGAATCGATTCAGTTTACAAGCGGCAAAGTACTGTGTGAAGTTTCTTTGGATAGCAGGTATGCGGGAGAAATTAGAAAATAATAGGGGATCCTGTGGAAGGAGAGCTTTAATATTTTAAGAACTGCTGATATAATCTATGTCTAGAATTCACCAAATATTTGGTGTCTTACTCATAAAAAACACGTAGGCTTATATGATACAAGAAACATTTTATCCTTACCTATTTAGTTAAATAATATGAATTAACACGCTTTAAAGTTTTTGAACAGATTTCTGTATTGTGTAATTCGTTAAGAAAGATGTCATCAAACTTCACCATTCACTGAATGTTTATTTGAAAATGTTCTTTAGTAATGCCATATAAAGTCAGTTTCAAATCTAAAAGAACATTCAGATGTAAATATATGATTATAATAGATGATTATAATGCTGTTAGTATAAATAACATGGAAATCGAAGTAAAATTAAATTAAAATTGGTATATATTCTAATAGGGTGGAGGAAATAAATTGTATCAAATCCTTACCTTTAAGTAGAATTTCTGCAGTTTGCACTATGAAACCAAAGGCGTATTATAGTTTATGTAAAAATCGATTTCTTGCTTATAAGGCCTATGAATTCTTTAATCCTGATATTCTAAACTAAAGACTACTTCAGGCAGAGTCCTCCTATCTTTACTTTATCTAACACAAGTTTCTGTCTATTCTAACAGCGATTCTTAACAGTCTTTTGATTGCTTCCTTGCTTAATTTTAAGTAGTTCCTAACAGGATACTCTTTCCCTGTACAACAACATCCAAGCTTATATGTAGACTTTATGAGGCTCTTAGCCGTCTATTCGGCTGCGTTCCCGGAGCAGGGTGGAGCAGAGAGTAGATGGTTTCTGCCAGGAAGATATCACACTGTGAGGCTAAGGCCAGGTCAGTGGTCTTCCTTGGTGGCGCTCACTCACTACCACTCAATGGGAGCGAGAGCTACTACTACCACTCAGTGGCGCAACAGCCCTAGTGGTCCACGGCCTGCAGTGCCCCGAAATCTGCTTTCTTGACCGGTGTTTAGTCCCCAAGCGAATTTGGTACTCATTTTATCGAGAAATTTCAAGGGATTCCATTCATTTTACAAAATTATTCAAGGGATCCTCGGGTTGGGCAAGGTTGAGTCAACCTTGCTCAGCCCGCGGATCGAAACCCGGACCTGTGGTTCAGCTGTGTGATGCGCTAAATCGGGAACTAGTGACATGAAAATTCATTTCTACGAGGTAGAAATTTTGTTATTTTGTTTTTGTTTGTTGTTTTAAAAGAGGCGTTAAATTGATAAAACAGGGTATGGAATATGTTCGTTTTATTTGTGTTCGTGTTATGTTCAGTAAAATTATAATTAAATTTAATAAGACATTAAAAATTTAGTAAGACATTAAAAATTATAAAGAAATTTCTTGCTGTTTTGGCTTTAATTCAATAGTTCTTTATGCACTTTATTTCAATATTTAAACTGTGAGGGTTATCGTTTTATTTTAACTAATAGTTCTTTTAAGTTGAAAGACTTTATTATTACCCTCTTTTCACTCACACTTTTCATGCCAGAATGTAAATGAGATAGCGGGAGTTTACTCATTTTTTCACATTGAGGTAGAAAGAAGTGCTATTTAAGCAAGAGTTTCGGAACACTGGTTTACTACAAACCGGTGAGTTTTTTTCTGCTCTGTTAGGCTCACAGAATACTTAAACGCACAGAATTCCTTGTTAGGCTAATCTCTTGTTTTATTCAAAATGTACAAATCAAAATTTTGAAACACGGCCTGTTATTCCAGCGACGTTAGGTTAAACATTTTAAATGAATTACATGATTCGCCCATGTCTGGACACCTGGAAATCTGGAAGACAGTACAACGAGTTCATGAGGCGGTATATATTTGGCAGTTATAGAATTTCGTTAAGTTAAATTTAAAAAGCAACATTTCCTAACGAATTAGTTGGGATCGACTTGTTGGGCCCGTTTTGCCGCAGCGAAACAAATAAAACTCATTATTTACTTTTTATAGTAGATCATTTTTCAAAATGGGTTGAAATAGCCCCCTGAGAAGAGCCTTGGCAAAAAGAGTAACAGATTCCTTTTTAAAATAAAAGTGTCTTACTCCGTTAAAATTCATTTCTGACAATGGTGGAAAGTTTGTGTCCCAGGTATTTGAAGGGCTATGCATAGGAGTTGGCGTACGCCACGTAAAAGTGGTACCTCATAAGCCCGCAGGCCGCAGGCTAACGTAGCAGAACGGGTAAACAAGAATGTAGTGAAAATAATGCTATGTTACGTGAGAAATTATTATAAGCGCTGGGACAGCGGGGTGAATGAGTTAGTTTATGGATTACCAACAGCTAAGCATGATACAACGGGGAAAAGTCTAGTTTAGTTATTATTAAACAGAAAGTTAATTACACCGCTTGACAAATTATTTTTGGTACA